TTATAAAAAAGTGTATGACTCAGTTTCCATAACAATATCGTGAAGAAATGATTACACAATTTGCATATCCTCATCTGATGAGCACTATCATATCTAATTAGGTGTTCAAATAGTATATTAGAAGAATCATATTATGTAATTTTGGGTCTCCGACTCTATTTCAAAATCAAATTTGTCAAAAATTATATTTGTTAGCCCAACATTTATATGGGCCTGCCAAATAAATGGAACGACATCCAATACGTCGTTCTGCGAACAAACACGTTTTGCCTTCTCTTTTTCATTTTTGTGGGTAAATCATTAGACCTGTAAAATTTTTGATGAAAAACATGGGAAGAACGCCAAGAACTACCATTAAAATTTCAAAATTCAAAGTGGGACATAGTTTTGTAAGATTTTGACCCTATTTATGGGTTCTGGGGATTCCATAAATATTCCATTCCAAAAAAAAGAGCAAGTTCGAAACAATTGGGATTGAAAATATAGTATAAAATATATATTGGCCATTTCTCTGACTCGTGGACAAAGTCCCAGATGTGGCTCGTGGACAAAGTCCGAGGGATAGAAAGATGGTTCCTCTGCCTCTCTCTATCCATCCCAGAAAAGAAAATCGGCTGAAAGAGCACAGGAGCAACGCGAGTAGGTTAAATGAATGGCCGAAAATATAAGAACCACGTGGCTTTTAACCTAACATTGTCCTTCTCAGTATCGCCCATTCCTTTCTCCCCTCAGCCTCTATCCGAGGAGTGAGGATACACAGTCTCCCAAGAGCCCCTCAAAAACCGAGAAGGCAAAAAATTGAAAAACAAAAAATATATATCTAGTGTCTAGTCTCCATAAGCAACCCTTCGTTCCTATGCCAACCCCTAGTCCCCTATGTAGTGTGAGGAATAAGGCAATTACGTGCCTCAATCAGTAAATCTTCCTTCTCTCCTGTTCTTTGTCGTGAAAGGAATAAAGCAAGGACTTGTCTCCATCAGCAACCTCCCTTCCTCTCATGATCTCTACAGTTTAGACAAAAGGCAAAATCCAGCTACAAAGAAACTCAAAGATACCTTGCGACCAACGCAAAGGTCACCTTCACCAAATCAAACCAAAAAAAAAAAATACAAAACTAAAAGATGGCAACCAGATATCCCATCAATAACTTGAAGGGAACCGAGCTTTTATGTCAGAAACCATTCCGATAAAAAAAAAGAGTACTAGAAGAGTAATAAATTCTCGGAAGAACCTTGTGGATAATTTTTTTCTCAATATTTATGATTCTTAATTAGGAAAATAAGATAAAGGAGGTTCACACCCCTTTCTTTCTATATATCGAAAATAGAGAGTCTTTCCTTGAATAAAATCTGAAAAGAGATCAAACGACCCTTATGAGAAAGGAAGAGAGAATTAGTCCATCGAAATACAGTACAGAGAAAGAACCAGAGAGGAAGATTATAACCTGATGCTCCTTATCTCGGCAACCCTTTTGTTGAGGGCGCAGAACAACCTTTCACATACACATAAACCCATCAAACAATCTCCAATGTCAAATCCTGCAAACCACCAAACAATACCAGACCAAAGCAGCCCAGCAGGGACAAAGATAATCTACCAGATGATCGTCTGCAAAAGGCAAAAACATAATCTGCCATGTAAGGGAAGGCTTCGCCAACAACAGAACTTCAAAGAATATAACAGGGGATTAAGAAGCAAACCGCGCCCAAATTCCAACGGCTCTTTTTGGAACTCCAAACCCCTGGTGTTGCCCACACCATCCTTCAGAACAGCAGATCAATCAACGCCCAACCTGTTTACTTCATCTTGCAAAATTCCATCTGAAAAGTAATCACAATAAACCCATGAAATACAAAACAAAATCATGAACGACAGAAAGATAACAAAACCAAGATAATAACCTGTGCACCGGGGAATTCTTTAAATCCCCCTTCTCGTCCTCTCAAATCTACAGCCTGATCGTTTCGAGATCGCCATCTCTCAAACTGGATGTGAGAAACCATCTCCGATAGAAAAGCGAGAGAGAAAAATAGGGGGAAAAGTGAGTGAGAGAGAGAGAAAGGGAAAAGGCCATTGCATCAACTGGAACAAATTTACTGGAATGGAAAAAAATAAGGAGACGTCGAGAAGACCACCACCACCTAAAACAACGTGAAATTTCTCCTGGCTCTTCCGGGGGTTCAACGTGAACCGGCTACCGGCCGTCGCAGCTGCCGATTGCGAGGAGGAAGTATGGGTTTCTTTTCCCAACGGTATCGTTTCGCGTACAAGCGGGAAGAGGAGCGACATGGATCAGCCAACTACCACTGGATCCGCCGGAGAGGATCTCGGCGCCGCCGGCTCCCGTGACGGGATCAGATAGTGAAGGCAATGAAGGTGGTGGAAGTGGAGGTGGAGGAGGTGGCAAAGGCGGTAGTTGAGGCAGTGGGGATGGCGAAGGCGGAGGTGACGGAGGAGGTGGCGATGATGGGACGGTGGCCACGGCAGCCGTGGAGGTAAAGGAGGCAATGGAGGAGCTGGCGATGGTGGAGGCAGCCATTTTTGAGAGATTGAAGACAGAGAGGAGAAAGAAAGGAGAGAGTAACTGAGACGGAAAGAAAGTGATTTCTAATTTACCTCTGGCTCTCTCTCCTCTCTACTTATTGTTTGTGTGGCGATGAAAACCCTTAACTTCTCTGCGAAGGATCACCATATTCGAGAAACCCCTCGGGACCCGAAGAACAGTGCAACAGTATCCATGGCAAGATAAGAGAAAAAATCAAAACGAAAAAGCAAAGCGAAACAATGCGAAACGTACAGATTGACAGGTGTAATAATTAGCAGAAGGTTTCAGAGGGAATAGTTGAGAAAAGCAGAGAAAGAAAAGCAGGAAAGAGAGAGCGAAGGGAAAATGAGCGTGCAGCTGAGGCCAACGCGGCACACACAGCAACAACGGCGTCGGCGGGACCCAGACGCAGGAAGCCAACCAATCAGCAAAGGCGGCTGGTCCCAATCGCAAAGGACGCACCAATGGGAGGAGGGTGAACAGTAATTTTGAGTCTAAATGAACAGGAAGTTCGTGTCTAGGCGTACAGTAACTTGTCTTTGTAAATAACTTAGTTCTAATATTCTTCGGCTCTTGTGTCCCAACTGATTTCAATAGCGCCTTCGTTTCTGGCCGTATGTAGCCAATATTAGGCCATTGGCTTGGCCGAAGAGAGCTTTTTTGACAACAAGGTTATAGCTACAAAGATTAGTGTGGGACTTTATTTCGGGTCTTAATTTTGAGTTTATGTAGATTCAGGTGCGCATTTTAACTACAAAGATCCCGTTGGTTTATCAAGAACAAGAAGGTTATAGCCCTCATAGGCTCGGCTCAAATAGCTAACTAGGACCCTGATAACTAGGAATGGCAATAGGCAGGTCCGGGGTGGGTTTCTTGGTACCCAGACCCGCCCCGTGGCAGGTCGGGTCTAGTTCGGGTAATTGATCACAGGTCGCGGGTCGGGGCAGGTCGACCCAATGGATATGCAATTTATATGAAAATATTAGAAATATTCGTTATTTTTATTATAAGACTAAGAAAACAAACAATATTATGACAATTGTAGTTAAATTATTGGAGAAATTGAGGTTTATACTAATTTGCAACTTTATTATAGCCAAAATATGAAGCAATAAAAGGAAAATTCTAAGTAATTTGACTAAGATTACATATAATTTAGACAAGAACGGGTCGAGAATGGAGCGAGTCAAGGCAGGTTGGGTCGATGAGACTACCCATGCCCGCCCCGCCCCAAAACAGGTCAAACAGGTCGGGTAAAACGGGTCAGGTCGAAATTGCCATCCTACTGATAACAGAAATGGCTTACATAGGGTCTACAGCAGAAGCCCATTGGGCCCAACGCGGATGCGGCCCAACCAGCAGCACCAATCAATTACCAGAGTTCAGGGGATGGGAAGATTCCACAAACTGTTTTTTCGGAGTAGGCGGATGACCCACCTCCCCATCCACCTCCTCAATCACACGCTTCCGGCCTTCCATGAGCGGGTCCACCAGATTAGACCCACACTCATCAAGGTTCAAAGTCGACCCCTTGCAGGGAGCCCCCTTCTCTTGTGCTATGACCAGTCCAGCTTCGAACGCCTCCACTACTTGATGAACACGCCCTTTCATGAATGTGCATGGCTTCCTGGAATCGCCAATTGGTGACCGACGCTTGATTTCAAAGGATTGAAGCTCCTCCGGCGAGGGATCCTCGTCAGAGTCATCGACCAGCCGGTGTTTTGAAGTTATAGGATCCACACGGGTCACCGCCCCTTCTTCATCCTCCAGCTCTTGTAGTGCACCAGGGGGAGACGAGCCCTCACCCCGATTAGACTTAATCAGAGGGCCGCTATCTCTTATTTTCCTCAGACGTTGGCGAACCCGAGTTGCCGGAGCCCCTGGCTGGTTCTCAGTCTTGGAGGGAAGCCGAGGATCCCTGAATGATGCATGCAAAATGGGAAACGGAAAACAAGAGATTAGCCGTGATTAATCACGCTTAGCACCGTGCTCAGTCGGACTTGGGTTCTAGCACGACTTGATACTACTTAATTATAATAATACTAATAGTTATTTTATCACTATAATAATATTTAATTATATTTAATATTTTTATGATGATTTCTTTTTTTTTTTTTTTGGTGAAATTTTTTATGATAATTTCTGATTACACAATTCTTTTAAAATTTATCTTTTATAGAAAAAGGAAGAAAAGTGGCGAACTGGCGATCGTCCGTTTCCTGTATTCCGCCTGAAAATTCGTGCGGCCCACGGAACAGACTGGACACCTTCCCTTCCATTCCATTTCCCTCTCTCGTCGCTTCTACCAGGGCAGGTAAAAGCTGCAGCAACCATTCGTACAGCGACACCGCTACTCTCTCTATCTCTTTCTCTCTCTGCGTGGGGACTGCTGGAGAGTTGAATTTTCAATCGCGCCCGCATATTTAAAGAAAGCTTCCAACACACAAAAAAAAATATGCGGAGATCAGTAATTGGAGGTGCCAAACGTACTACTACTACTACTTGTCTCTTCCTTCTCAATCACGCTCATCATCGCTCTCTCCTTCCTCCTCTGCACCACCGTCTTGATTCTTCTTCTTCTTCTTCCTCCGCCACCGCCCTCCTCCTCCTTCTCCGGCGACTCTCCTCCTCCTCCTCCTCCGCTTCTTCCCCCTCTCCTCCCAACATGCCGAACCCCGTTTCCGTCCAGTCCATCAACCCCAAGGTACCCATCCATCATCTTTTTGCCTTATGATCACGCCCATCTGTCGCTCGTTCTTTGAATTTGTTGAGATCCCATTTGTATCACCATCATCATTCAACTGCAAAGTTTTGAAATTTGATTGATGGGTATTTAATTGCGTTTTCCAGGTTTTGAAATGCGAATACGCGGTTCGTGGAGAGATTGTCATCCTCGCTCAGGTAATACTAAATCGATTGTTTTGTTTGATCCTGCTGTCCCACCGCGGCTTTCATTTCTAGTTTTCTCCTACTCTCTCACCTCGCTGCTTCTTCCCCTGTTTGTTAATTGCCTTCCATCTCGTGTTCAACGTTTCATTGTGCAGCGCCTGCAAGAAGAGTTGAAGGCTAAACCTGGTTCCCTTCCTTTTGATGAGGTTCTTCTTCTCCTCCTCTATGCGCCCTCTTATTATAAGCTTATTTTGCCCCTGTTTACAGGAACAGCACATTGCCCTTTAATCATAAACATTAGTTGGGTTCTTCTGTGGTAGTAAATGCTGAATTTATTGCTTTACAAAATGCTGTTTGTTTTGCTTTGGGAAAGCTTCTTTCTTTCCAGTTTCCAGTCGGACCCTCCGTTGGAATGATAGTATTACCAAAGCTGCACCAGAGGAGACTTTTTTTTCTTCTATCTTAAGCGCAATTTGAATTGAAGCTGAAATTGCAATGGCCTTGTACGCAGATTCTCTATTGCAACATTGGGAACCCTCAGTCTCTTGGTCAGCTCCCTATAACCTTCTTCCGAGAGGTTAGTTTGGCTTTTCCCATTTGCTGCATAAAGGTTTATCCTTCCTGCCAATGCCACTGCTTACATCTCTCTCTCTCTTTTTTTTCCCCCCGACGTTAGGTTCTTGCGCTCTGTGATCATCCTGCGATTTTGGACAAAGCTGAAGCACAGGGCCTGTTCAGGTGTCACTTCTCAGTTCCTACTTTTTGTTGTGTTCCTTCCTTCCTCTAGTATTTCAGCTTGAAGCCAGAATTCATTAGAGATAGTTATGTGCTGGACAGTGCTAGCTGATAGCGATTAGCTTTGTGAAGCAGTCTCAAACCACGTTTGCATTATATATATATTTTTTCTTTTCTTCTGATGATAGGTTTACCATTTCTAATGCCTTGTCTGATTCTTGCTTGTCTTATGCCAGTGCTGATTCCATAAAGCGAGCATGGCAGATTCTTGACCAAATTCCTGGGAGAGCAACTGGAGCATATAGTCATAGTCAGGTTATAATCATGAGTTCATGGCATTGATCTTTGGAAACTCTGACTACGGTATTATTGCTACTGGGGCTTTTGTTAGAACGGTGTGATGAATACAGCTTTTGACAGGGTATCAAAGGATTACGTGATACGATTGCTGCTGGTATTGAAGCTCGTGATGGATTTCCTGCTAATCCAAATGATTTATTTCTCACAGATGGTGCAAGTCCAGCTGTAAGAATGATACCACATACTTTTTCTCTTGAGATATTGTTTTGAAATACTAAACATTGGAAGCAGCTTAGTCTACATTATATGTACCTCGACTTTATATCTTGTTTCCAGCATGCTGCAACTGATAATGTTTCTCCTTTCCGTTAGGTACACATGATGATGCAATTACTGATAGGCTCCGAAAAAGATGGACTTCTATGTCCCATTCCTCAGTACCCTTTGTACTCTGCTTCCATTGCTCTCCATGGTGGTAGTCTGGTAAGAAACCTCTCTCATATGCCATTCACTATAGTGGCATGTTATTGGATAATTTTCACTTTATTTTATTTGATATTCATTTGTAAACATGGTTAATTGCAGGTCCCTTACTATCTTGACGAAGAAACTGGCTGGGGCTTGGAAGTTTCTGAACTTAAGAAGCAATTAAAGGAAGCTAGGTCAAAGGGTATCACTGTTAAGGCTCTGGTTGTTATAAATCCAGGCAACCCAACTGGACAGGTGAGGGTTAGCCTACATTTATAATTCTGAAGAGAGTTATCTTAACCTCAAAGTACTTTCTTGATATCCCAACATGTTGGTAACGCTTGGGAGGAATTTTGATAAGCGTCGACTTGCTCCTTATGCTTGCAGGTTCTCGCGGAGGAAAACCAGCGGGCTATTGTGGAGTTCTGCAAGCAAGAGGGTCTTGTTCTTTTAGCAGATGAGGTTAGTAACGACTAGTTTTGTGACTGGGGTTACGTTCTTGAGGTGGTTCATCTTCTTATATTGGACGAACTGTTTTGTACAGGTTTATCAGGAAAATGTCTATGTTCCTGAGAAGAAATTTCACTCATTTAAGAAGGTTGCCCGATCTATGGGCTATGGTGATAATGATTTGTGTCTAGTATCTTTCCAGTCTGTCTCTAAAGGTAAACTGCTTGATGTTTATATTACCTTGATAGGAGATATTGCACAATTCCTGAGTCCGGTCAGGAATCACATATGTATACTTTTTAAACATTTTCAGGGTACCATGGAGAGTGTGGAAAGAGAGGAGGCTACATGGAGGTCACGGGTTTTAGTCCGGAAGTCAGAGAGCAGATATACAAATTGGCGTCTGTGAATCTCTGCTCTAATATTTCAGGCCAAATCCTTGCAAGTCTTGTTATGAGCCCGCCCAAGGCATTTATTCTCTCCCTTTCCCTCTCTCTCTTTGTGAATGATTTCTTACTTAAGGTCCAAGATGTAGACACAATTGGCTCTTTTATCGGATCATTAATCTATTGCCCACGTTAAGAAGACTAGCTTCTTTGCTTTATTAAACTTATAATGCAACGGGGATGCTTTCAGGTTGGAGATGAATCTTATGAATCATATTCTGCCGAGAAAGACGGAATTCTTAAATCTCTGGCTAGGCGTGCCAAGGTTAGTAGCTCAAATACCTTTTATATGTAGTTTAGTCAATGTTTATAAGCACTTGAGATAGAGTACGATCTGAAACTAGTTGGTTAGTGTATTCCTTGCTTCTCATTGTGCTTCTTTGCATTGGCCGGTGTTTGCTAATGATCAAGCAATCAAAAGTTATCGTAACCATATTAAGTTTCATATTTACCTGGGTTGTTGTTATCTTAATTTATATATTATTGTTTCCTTCAACTATTGGCAGACACTGGAAGATGCATTCAAGAGTTTAGAGGGAATAACATGCAACAAAGCAGAGGGAGCAATGTATCTTTTCCCCCGCATCAAGTTGCCTGAAAAGGCAATCAAAGCTGCAGAAGCTGCAAAGACTGCCCCCGATCTATTTTATTGTCGTCGTCTCCTCAATGCTACTGGAGTGGTTGTGGTCCCTGGTTCTGGCTTTGGTCAGGTAAGAACTTCTCCTTGTTTTTTAAAATGATGCCATGGCTCCAAAATAAGGTGTAGGAGTGGGTAACGTCATGGTAGTACTATATCACTTCTGCCAATAACATGCCTTGAGTAGAAAGACAAGGCTCCTTGGTACTACTCTAGTGCTATATATAACAATAGCAGTATGCTGACTTTTTAATGCCTTAATGTACGCCAAGAATCTCATGTAATCGTGAAATCAACCACCTGGTCCGAGATTTGCTTATGCAGTAACCTCTTAACTAGAGATTTCATTGTTGGACTTGGAAGATGGAACATTGTTGGATTTCTTAGTCAATATGCTTGATGGAAAACATTTGAGGGTATATATTGATATTGATATATTGATCACTTCTCTCTGTTGCGGTGATGAATCGGTTTTCTAGTTGCTGGAAGTGATTATGGCCAGGATGCTTTGACGGGCAAAAAGTCATTAGCCATGATAGCATCCTTTTGCAATCATGAAATTTGGCAAATAACAGTTACACTTACACATATCACTGAGTCTGTTCTTTGGTTTGCAGGTTCCCGGGACGTGGCACTTCAGATGTACCATTTTGCCGCAGGAGGACAAGATTCCGGCCATTGTCTCGCGCTTGACAGCCTTCCACAAGAGCTTCATGGATGAGTACCGTAATTAGAGAGAGGATTGTTGTACTTATCATCTGGACCTCAGAAGGAAGTAGCAGAATAATAAGATTGTACTCGCTTCGATTTTCCCGATGTTGCGAGTTTTCTTTTCTCCAGATTTTAGACAACTGAATAAGTGGCAGCTGCCTTCACTTGGAGGGTATGATTGATGTATAGCTTAAAGGATCCATTGGTCATATATTGCGCTCAATTTTGGGTTTTGAAACGAATAGCTTATGGCTAGCTTAAAGTTTGCTGTCTTTGTGTACGTGCTGTTAAAATGAAACATGAATGATGACCTTCCTTATGGCAAACTGACGATGGCTACACACGGCCACACTTATCATTAAGCAAAATCAAACTGCACCAGGCGAGCGCATTCTTTACCATTTGGTTTACATTTTGTAGCCTATTGCTTATCATATGTCAACTCATTGGGAGAAGCAGCAGATGCACTTTGCTTCCACTTATCAAAAGAAGAAACTGCAGCAGATAAAATGTAGATAAAAGAAATCCCAGCTAACATGAACTAAAGATTATCCGAGTAGTGAAGTTATCTTAGAAGTCATTCTCAGTCGCAAGAAGAATAGTCGGGCGAAGAAGAAAACTAGGATACATTCCAAGTTTATGGAGGACACATGCGGCGTAGTTGCTTCCTAAGTGACTGATGACAGGCTACAGGCAAACATACATATGAATATAATCCTATCTCACCATAAAGCAACAAATTGACACATACCTTCCCCTAGGCTACCTTGGCCACTATAAAGAAACTAATCACATTCAAGTAAAAATTTGTTCCTTGCGTGCATGGTATGATGATGCGAAAGAGGGGATACTGCACTCACATCAATAGACAATTCAAAACGACACGATCCATTTCTCCGATCAAAAGGCTCAAATGTTCATCAATTGGCAAGAAAATCAGTCCCCCTTCCGTGGATTCACCACAATTTACCCCTATCCATTGAGCCAATTCAAACTACTGAAACATCAGATATCCTGGCAGGCATGGACTAAAATTGCTCAAAGTAGCAAAGCAGTCATTGTCATGGTTCGATATCCTCAAGCCCTCAGGTGAAACGACAAACAGTTGACAGAAGAGAAAAACTAGTGATACATATCATGTCTACGGAGGAAATATGTGGTCATAGTATCTCATCATAGGCGACTGATGACGGCCTCCACCTCAGAAGGGGTGTACAAATGGTATGTCGGAGCCACTTTGGCAATGTCCACGTTGTTGGGTGTTACCTACAAATCATCAGCATATTCTAAATTCAGACTCGACAACCAAGAGCAATACAGCCAGCATACGCAAGTAGGGTGCCCCATCATAAGAAGAAGAAAAAGAAAAGGGGAAAAATTACCTTTTCCTCCATAACTTGCTTTAGAATGGAAAGTGCTATTGTTTCAGCTTCCTGAAGAGTGAGTTCCTGCAGATTATATTACGGATGTTATTATAATGCATGACAAACAAAATGCAACGTCATACACATTCTTCTCGTGGGTTACAGGAGACAGCAAGATTCATTACACTAACCTATGCAACACTATGAAAAAGATGAAGACCTTGAAGAGCCTATCTAATGTGATATTGTCATCCAATCTCAGAAGACTTAGAAAAGGAAATGAGAAGACTGCAAGCATCAAAACGAAGCAACAGTACCTTGTTATACTGCTCCTGCAGAGAGCTATCTGCACCTTCAGAACCTGAACCAATAGCCTTCGCATTGCACTGCCAAAATGTACCCGATGGATCTGTGTAGTACCTGCATAAGCAAATTAGCTGGTTAAAGAAAAGCCCATAAGACCTGCAAGCAACATAGCATATCTAGAAATATGAAGCACACATGAGTACTTACAAGCTGGGACCATTCTCATCATGACCAGCAATGAGAAGCGATACCCCGAAAGGGCGAGACTGCAAAGAGGAGCAAAAACTGATAAATACCAAGTTGGATCAAATTGTTACAGTAATGCATCAAGGACCAAAAACTGCACTCAACTATCAAGCAGGATAACATTTCCTTTTCCTAGATTTTGGAGAGTATAAACTATTAGTGATTCTGGTTACTGATGCAGGGAATGTTCAGAAGAGTATACAATGATGCAGACAACTCATGTTCCTAGTAGATAACTCACCAAACATCATTGCCTCATTGGGATACATGAACTAGAAAATGTCATCCGAGAAAAGAGGCCAACATAACAAATGATTCTGGATGCAGGCTTAACACTGGAATTCAGCTGAGATTAACAGTAGTCACTAAAAATTATTCATAGCTATGTATATATGACAAGTGTATTACCATAGACTCTTCATCAGGCTTAACAATGGAATTCAGCTGAGATTAACAGTAGTCACTAATAATTATTCATATATATATATATGACAAGTGTATTACCATAGACTCTTCATCACCTTCACCAAATCTCAGGGCCAGATCACAAAGGGCTTGTGTAGTAGACTCCACAGTCATTGGCTCACCGTATGAAAATCTATGATTCTGAAAGCTACATGTTAGTCAGTGTAGGAGCTCCGGATTCTTGAAAAGACAGAAGCATAGTAGGAACAGAAGGATTACTTGAGTTTCAACACGAGCATGCTCAACAAGAGTACGGGCATCTGCAATTAATCCACTCATAGCACATCCGATATGCTCATCGATTTCCATGACTTTCTCCACACTGCTGGGCTCCTGAGAAAGTCAATGAGAAAATATAAATTTTGTTTCTCCACACACAAAGAGAAGCTATTTTTAGGTACACAAAAGCACATCAAGAAATGGAAGCGAGTCGTCCGTAGGTTTCTGGAGTTCCGTTAGGCTTTCATTGCTTTTCAGAGGAAAATTAGCACAGTAGCCTAAGAAGGACCAAACCAGTTGAGCCATTATGAATTGCACTCAGTGAATTCAAACGAAAGGCGTAACCATACCAAAACAGGCATTCTTTCGTACAAGGTTAGACAGGAAACAAACACTGACATAGAACATGCCCATTTACGCAATTATTGGTTCAACACAAGTATAAGCTTTAAGTTCATGAACAAACCTAGATAAGAGAGAATAGAGAAAGGGAAAACCAACCAGGAGGGGTGAAGTGATACGCTTCTCAACTGCAAGCACAACCCCTTCCTTTGTCTTCAGCCCAATCGCAGTAGAACCAAGCTGACAAAAATAGATCAAACGAATCATGGGATGTCCTGCAATCCTTCTGGAAAAGATGTTTTCGCGAGAAACTTAAGAAATGGTGCAGTCATAAGTCATGTTAAGTTTGCAGACAGATTCACTTCGACCTTCCAAACATACAATTCGTTGCAAGTAAACTTCAGCATGAAAATAAGAAGATAAACTGCCGGTAAATTCAAATAACTACTTCATGCAGCTAAACAGTAAACTCAAGCTCTTAAGACGTCCGATAGGAGACGAATGGATCGGGGTTCGCCACAACAGGAGACAGAGTCTGTAGCACACTAAATCGATGTATCATAGCGACTTATAAGCATCAGTTAGGAGGTGATCCGTTACTCAGCAGAATATAATGGCCGGGGGAGTCTATAGGACTAATAGAGTAAAACCCAGATAAGGTTAATATGCAGAAAGCAAGCTTTATCCCGATAAACCCAAATGTTTCGCGGGATTACGAGATTTAGTGAGGGAGGGGGGAAAAGGTGAGTTAGGTCAAGCAGTAATTTACCTTGATGGCTTCGATAGCGTATTCGACCTGAAAGAGGCGGCCTTCGGGAGAGAAGGTGTTCACTCCTCGGTCATACTCGGTCCTTGGAAATCGAAATCAGGAACGTCGGAATCAGATAGAGAAAACGGGAACATGGAGGAGAGCAGCGATGAATGTCGGGAATTTACCTGGTGAGGAACATGTTGTGGCGACTGCGGGAATTCGATCTGTTCTACGGAAAGGTAATGGGGAGAAGCGGAGAAGCCTGACGGCGGCTCTTTTCACTGAAACTCGATTTTGCGGCCACCGGCGGGGAGAGTAAGGGCTTTTGGAGGCTCCGATTGATTGACAGAGGCAGGCAGCTGCTTGCTCTATGAGTATTGAGTAAATTTCCTTTCCTCTCGACTTGTCATCCAAGCCAGACAAGCTTCAGAGAAACGTTTCGGTTTGTTGGGCCTGGAAAAAGCTTTTGGGCGGGCCTGCCCGCTGCCTAACAATGACATTGTTATACTAATGGGCTTTCGGCTATGCGTAGTTGTAAGAATTATAAAACGGAAGCTTTGCCCCATAAATTGAAAATGGTCGCTTATTATAGTTTGGGCTTACCCTTCTGTTGGGATCTGTTCTTGGCAAAACTCAAAATGGTCACCAAGTTGAAAATTTTCAAAAATGGTCACTTAAAGCTTTTTTTTTCTTAAATGTTTAGTTTAACTTGACAATAAGAGTTACAAAAAAGACCATCGAAGCAAATTACTTAAGGAGGTTATTGCTGGGGAAACAGACACAGCTATCATGTTCTGTATTTTCACATGTCAAACAACAAATATGAAATGCATTTTTCAAAGCAAAAATTTAACTAAGCTGTAAGAAAATCAAAGTGATGAATAATCAAACTAAAACAATGACATTATTAATTTAGTTCAAGTATGATACAACTAGCTATTATAGTTGTAGGACAATAAGCAATTGTGTTTGAGAACCCACGGGTAACCATCCACCCACTGATACTCATTGGGTAGGGTCTGAGTTTTCTCTTTCAAAGTTTAATGAGTATTCTATCGGGGTTTTTAACCTGCGCACCCGCTGAAAATTTTCTGCTGGTTGAAAAGACCCAACCCAACCATATCTATCACAATCCCTAGAAAAATATTAATCATTTTAGCCGATGTATAAATACTTATGTTCTTAAACTTTATGCTTCAATTCATCTTTGCACTTCTACATAAAATCACTTTTTTTATTGTATCCAAATCCACCATATCCAACGCCATTATACAAACCAGTTTCACTGCCACTGCTAGTGTTATTTTATATCAGATAAATACATTGTGGATGGATGATTTATAGAAGGCAGATACAATATAATATATGACATATTCTGATATGCAAATCAACCATTCCCCGTCAGCAGATGTTGCAGATGTTGACTTCTGAGTTGTAACTTGTAATACAATTAGAAAAAAAGAAAGATAAAGAAACTAGTTGTTGGGAATCATCCTTGCCATTAGAGAGTAACCTATTCATTCATATATAAAAGAAACTAAGGTCTTGTTCACTTTCAATTTCGTTTTCTGTTTTTTTGTTGTCAAAACAGAAAATTTAAAAACGAAGGGAGAAAA